AATCCTATCTACTTCATTTTATGAATTTAAAAATATTCTGAGGAGGAGGATCCATAGGCTTTTTAGCAGCCTGCCAAAGGGGCTCTATTATAAAAAAAAGGGGGGGGCAAGATAAGACAATAATCTATTTTGGAACTAAAATTGTTAATTTTAAAAACATTCTGTTAATAGCTAATAACAAATGTTATCAGTTATGGAATGAGTTTTACAGAAACAAAATGATAGGTGATAAATTTTTAGTATTCTTTTGATATTTTATTCATGAACACATTGCATGGGAATAACAGTTTAATTATGCCAAAGAAATGTATAATTAAATCTTTATTTTAAGGAAAATTTTATCATTTGTTATTAGTTTAGTTTATAAAGCATTTAACAAATTTAACAGATATGAATTAACTTTTCAGTTGGGATAAAACTATTTTTATTGTTTAAATGTCATATGGATGTGTGATTTTTATTCAAATATATATTATTTAAAAAAAATCATCAATTGAATTTTTTTCCCCCAGAAAAAAATTTTCTGTATTATATTTGTAATTTACTATATGTTGCATGCTGCTAAAAATAGTACTGTAAACTGAAAAAATAGAACAATGACATAAATATTTCAAATTATATTTGTGCACTAGTTAATGTGAATTACATAAAATTCGCCACAATTTAACACAATACGTGCATGCTCACGCTAACATTACTGCAAAATTTATTTAATGTTTAATTAAGCAAAACAGTTACTTTCCTATAAATTGTGAGAAGCGTAATTGTGTTTTTAAGAGTTAATTATTGAGTGAAAATTTTGTTATAATTTATTTAATTGTATAATAGTCAGGTTTTTTAACTTATATGGTAAGATTCCTTCTTCAGTCTTTAATTTTTGCCCAAATTCTATGTTGTTTTACTTTAACTGCACATACATACACAAACAATCTCTCACATGCATACAACACACACAGTATAAAACTGCATGTGTGTGTTTTTGTTTATTTATAATAATCATTGTTGTAAATCAAATTTAGATAAAGAAACATGAAATATTTGCAAGTATATTGTTTTATTAACATATGTTCAAAATAGAAACTATAATAATAATGATCTCATTAGATAATTTGATACTGTGTATTATCGCAACATTTGTACTATAAATAAATTTAATTTTTATAGCATAATAAAAATGGATTTGTTTCAGGAATTATCATCTTTTGAATTCTGCCTTTATTAATTTGATTAGAAGCAATCTCTGGATATATATACAAATAATATAAATACTATTAATTAAAAGTTTGTGAGAACTTAATTCACTTCCATTCTATATATTTAAAAATAGTTATATATATAATTCAAAATTTTCACTTTTTAAAACTTATTCTTATTGTGTTGTGTGAAAAATAGAAATCCTAAAAAAGAATTAAACTGTATTGTGTGAGATCTTATGAGTTTCTGCCTGAATGAACTTACATTATGAAACTCGGATGGATATAACTGGAAATTTTGATGAGTCATTGAACTAAACAGTTTTTTTTTTATTACCGTATTTAACCAGTGTTATAAAGCAAAATGATTCTTTTTTTTTTTTAAATTTTATGTCAAATTTAACAATTGGAATTCAGGTTTTGTTTCGAAAATGAAAATTTCTACATGATTTCTAACAAAGTTTTAATTTCATTTAAATTTAAGTTTTGACTTAATGAGAGCTTTTGTTTGAAATTTAAGAATTTGTGTTACTGACCTTGTTGCCATTGCATGTTACAATTAATTTTTTCTCTGAAGCGTGACTCAATGGTGTAATACGTATGAGATTTAGTTCCTTGTAAATTTTCTAAACTTGCTAATGATTCTGAATATTCAGACTTAATTTCATCTCGATTTGAATGAAATTAGATGTATTTATCAGTGTTTTCAATAACAGAATGTTTTTATGCTTTAAAAGTAATTCATTTATTACTTTTATTAATAGTATTTTTGATTTAAACTAGATAAATTACATATAAAATTATTCTTATACCTGAATATATTTTTTATTAAAATATTAAATGCAAAAACTGAAATTCTAATTATTTAAACTGTTTTTTTCAGTATATAATTACTTCTAAAATATTTTTTAAACGGTAATTATTTTTCAAAGAAACAGACTTTATTTTTTTGTCTGTTTCTTGATATATTGCATAATTAGGAAATTCTAATTATGCTTTATCTATTTTATAAATTTAATATTCTTCTGTACAATGTAAATAAGTTCACATCCTGTTTGTTCAAAAAATAAAAAAACAATTTAAAATATAGGTCTGACGACTCAATATCGAGTATAGTCATCAAAACAACTGTTAAACAGCTAATATAGCTGCTTAACAGATTTTTAATTTGTTTTTGTTTTTTTTTTAACTGTTAGTAGTATCGAAAGACTACCAGATATTGAATATTTGAAGGTAATCTTGTTGATTACAAAATTTAATTGAAAAATATATAAAATATTACCATATGAACTTACCAAAATAACAAATTATAACTTAAAACTAAAATAAATTTGTACTTAATTATAACTTAAAACTAAAATTTTCAAAAATAGAAGAAATATTCTAAAATAAAAATGTATTCACATTGTAGAATCAATAAGGTTAAAATACTAAAAAGTGTAGTTTAACTTTATCCCATAAAGTTCAAGCAATGACATGATAGAACAATCATGAGCAAATTGCTTGGAACAATAGCCATCTTAAATCACTCTCTGCTTTATTTCGTTACATTATACTCTATGCTATAGTTTATCAAGAAAATATTTCTTCAACGGTATCTATATAATCAGTTCTAACAACTAATGCTCTCGTTATATGATTTGTGATATCAACCAACTGATGATATATCATAGTATATCATATTAAACTATATGATGCACATTGATTTTTTAAAAATATTTTTTAGTATCTATCTTTAAGTTACATACTAATTTAATGAGTCAATTATAGATTGTTTTCTTACTAAGCTACTTTAAGTTTATGTATTGTAATATCATAAAAATACCTGTTCCTGATATTGCATAAAATATTTGTATTAATAATAATGAATTTGAGTTAAATTGAATTACTCTACAAAATTCAATGTTTTTAACTTTATTTTAAATTATAAAAATAAAAATTAAATTGTTTTATTTAAATAGTAGTAGTAAATAATAATAATAATTTATTTAAATAAAATGAGAAAATATTATAATAAAAATCATACACACATATAAATATTTTTATTGTATAAATTTAAATTTTGTTTATATTATTTTGGAACAGACACTTAATTAAGAAGTAAATATTAGTGAAATGAAAGTTTTAAAATATTTTTAATTGTGATTCAATTAAAATTTTATATCTTCTTTGATTTTAAGATGCACTCTATTTTGCTTATTTTTGTTTTACTGAAGTCAAGCTATGTCTTAGAATCACTTTCCGAACTTATTACTTAAAATCTGATAAAATTTCATTATTTAAAAATTTTTCCTTTTCATAATAGAACTTTTAAAGTAGTACTCAAACTTTTTAGGATTTCTTACGTGATGGTCTGTTTACGATTTTTTAGATTACTCGCGAATCCTTTAAAATAAAGTACAATTAACATATAGGCTACTGTTACCAAAACATTTTTTGAGAAACAATTATTTATTTAGAAAATGACAAATCTTAGACATCAAATGTATATGTCTCCTACAGGATTGCAGACTCCAGTTGAGAATCACTGTTCTAAACTAACAATATGTCTTGTAGTCAGTGGCATCTTACAGTCATGTAAATTTAGTATATCTTATTTGCATATTATCTCTAAATAATTTGTAATTTGGAATTAAAACATTTGGCCTATTTATTATTGCAAAAAAGTTTTTATATTGAATTTTTGTGTGCAAACATTTGTTAAAAAAGTTAAGTTATCAATATTTTATTTAATTATATTGTTCTAGCTCATTATTCTATCTGTCCAAATATCATATTGTTAACTATAATTATTGTTTTTACCTGCAGCAATTTCTGATGCATCCAGTTAAAGATATTGGCATATAACTTAGTTATTACAACTTTATATTCTTAAATCAGTTAATATTTAACATTAATTTTAGCTCATAAAACATTTGTCTCTTTTATGGCTTTTATTTCTTTGAATGAAAATGTTATAGCCATCATTTTCTGTAAATGCAATTTATAATTTTTGCACATATTGAACTTACCTATACAATCCTGTCAATATTTTCCGTGAAAATATAGAATTCTGTAAAAGTCTGTGCTCTTGCTGAAACATACTTAGATGTTTTCTGTATATGAGTGTCTGCATATCCCAAGCATTTGAGAACCACTTAGCAGTAAAAAAGGTTTTGTTTTACAATAATTAACAAAACAATTTTATGAAAATACTTTGTCAAAATATTATTTTGTAGTTAATAACAAGGCATGTGCCATGGCATTCATCAGACACAAACAACAAAAAAATGTCATAAGACATCCTACGTGGATGACTCTCATTGTGAGACTGAATATTCGTGCATTTTGCCATCACTCAAGGTAAACGCGACAAACAAGATTTTTTTTATTATGAAAAATTTTGTGATTGCCACCACAAAAACATGAATTTATGAATACATGTCATGAATCTGGAGACTTGATTGTATTTAATATATTCTGATGTCAGATAAACTCTAGAAGCTGCTTTGTCTGTAAAGAGTAAGATTTTTTCTAGTTTGTCAGATACATTGCAGTGTTTGTATTAAGTGCCAGATATTAAAAAGAAATACTTTAATGTAATTAAATAAATTATATAAATAGCCCAAAATTTAGTTTTGATTTGTTACAGTAAAAACTTACAGTATATTTTTTGCACCAGTAATTTTATCTGTTTTATTGTTTGCATTAGCTAAGCAAATTTTGTTATATCTTACTAATTTTATAAGATATACCAGTTATATAATAATAATATTTCTATAAGAAAATTTGGTATTAATTTTTAATTTTTTTTTTTAATTTATATAGAAAAATTGAGTGAATACATCAGTTATTATGAGCCATTGACATATAATAATGAACTACTGCATCAAAGTCATCTGCGTGCCAAAAGATCAACACACAATTCTATAGTTAATCTCAATTTTAAAGCTCATGGGAGGTAAGTTTAAAATTTAGGAAAGAAATATATTTTCATAAAATTAAAATGAATTCTACTGTATTTATTTAATCAATATAAACGAAGTGATTTATAATCACTTTACCTATACTGAATATAGTGATTGACTGATAGCATTAATTACAGTAAGTAGAAATTGTAGTTTTATCCATTCCAAAATTAAAAGAACATATTAAATCAGTTATTGTTTAACTTGAAAATTTGCTAATTATAAATTAATGGTGATTCGTCTAGTGTTGTTTCCTCACTGATTTTTGCAATGCCACAACAGATTATACATATATATAACAGAAGTAAGAAATTCCAGTAATTTAAACTGCTGTACAGACTCTAATTTTATGCCAATTCACAAAAATGCTGGCTTCAAATTTTCCCTCAAACTCTCAAAAAAACTTTTTTGACAATGTGTAGAATGTTTTTTATAAATACTATATGCAAATACTTATATAGAAGAATTAGCAGATTTGGCAGGAGTGTATGCAAGGTGGTATTTACAGCACTGCAGCAACTTGTTGTTACCAGAATAATCAGTTTTCTTACTTTAAAATGAAAATAAATATAATAATGCGTATCGTGTGACTTCAGTGGCAGAAATTAATCATACACAAATAAAAAAAGCAGAAAAATTTAATCTGATATTTATCAGAAACACGTGAATTCAAAGTAACTGTAATTTCAATAATTTGTAGTGAAAATAAGAAATGTAATTATTTTATATCTCTTCTATTCCTTTTTTGAAATCACAAGGAGTATAAATCATAAATCATACTGTAATTTTTATAATTTATAAATTAATTTAACAATTCAAAATAATAAATGAAATATGGAAAATAGAAAATTGAACAGTTTTAAAAGATAATGAAAAAAAACAATGATGTGAAAAGTTATGTAACGAAGGTAATTCTAAGATAATTGAGTAACAGTTTCTGAAAAACAACATTTTTCATGTGTCTTGATATATTTTGAATCTGCCTTGAACATCTATATTCACAAAATCCTTGATACACTACTGAAATTTGTACACAGAAAGAGAGGTGGAGGCAAATGATGATGAACTAATGTTGTAAAGGTAATAACTTCTGATGTCCTTAAATAATTTCTTACTAATGCCAGCTCTTTGATTGAGAGTTACAAATTGGATCTGATTGGGAGTAAACTGACTTTGCAAGGAGGAATTTAACTGAAGCCTTAGCACCATTTTATGAAATTCTCAAGGAGAGGAAAAAAGCACAAAAAATAGATTTTAACAAATATTTTATAAATCGTCAGCCTAGCTTGTCATTGATTGATTTACTGTCAATTATAGCCATCACCACAGAACGGAAGTTGCATTCAGCAGCACTATTATACAAAATCAACAGTGGTAGTATAAAATTTGCATTATCAATTTCAGCTACAAATAGATAAGGTTAATTTCTGTATTGTTATTATTTTGTTTTAGTAAAAATTCCAGTACTAAACATGTTTATTAAAAATATAAATATTGATTTTTTCCTGGAGCATATATTTATTCCATAATAATGTGGATGTATTTTGTTTATACTGCCTCCTCCAGGAATTCATCACCAGAATAAAATGAACAAAGCCTATATTGTGAACAAAGAAAATTAAAATAACTGTGCATTTAACATTAAATGTTAGGCTTATATGCAGTTATTATTAGTTTTATTATTATAAATCACATGTTGAGGCCAATAACACAAAAGAAAGGCAGCTTATGAATGCATATTTATCCAAAGATAATGTTAACTATAATCGGAATTTACAATAACTGAAATTTTATACATCTGTTTTAAGTATATGCTTTTGGAACATGCTAATTTTGATAAATTTAGCAGCTAAAGATGTCTGTGATTACAATAAGCAGATTTTACTGTAATTTTTTCTTCTCTAAATATAACATAAATATTTTGATTTTGTTTTCAAGGCATTTCAATCTAAGATTGAAGAGAGATACCTCTGCCTTTGCATCAGATCTCAGTGTAGAAACTTCATCTGGTGTTTCTGATATTGATATGTCTCATTTATATAGTGGACATTTGTCAGGTAATGGTTAAACTGAATAATTAAATTTTATTTAATTCAATAATAAATTATCATCTATTTTATTTTTATCAGATGAACCCGAGTCCTCAATTTATGGTTCTATAAGAAATGGTGTATTTGAAGGAAAAATTCATACTCCAGATAAAGTTTTCTATGTAGAACGAGCACATAAATATTTTGTAAAACATCCTCAACCATTTCATTCTGTCATTTATTCATCAGATGATGTCAAAGATCCACATGCACATAAAAGGGAGAATCATTTAGGTGGATGTGGTATAACAGAAGAAGTCTTACAATGGATGCAAGAAGTTAGCAATTCTGCTGATACTAAGGAGTTTACAAATAAAGAAAAGGTAAAAATTGAATATTTGATTTGAATTATTTGTAATAAAATATTTATTTTTTAATTTGAGTGTAATTTTTTTTTAAGCAAACTAAAACAGTTATGCGTGATCGAAAAGAGCGATCAACAGGTGCAGAAAATACACCTCATTATATATACACAAGAGAAGCTCAAAATTTTTTATCTCAAAAAGAACCTTTAATTGATAAAAGGACATGTACATTATACATACAAACAGATACTTTCCTCTGGAAACATATTAGATCTTACGAACCATCTGAGAGCAGTGCAAGAGAAGAAATTTCATCATTGATTTCCCAGCATGTAAAAGCAGTTAATTACATTTATGAAAATACTGATTTCGACGGTTACCGTGGCATCAAATTTGTTGTACAAAGAATAAAGGTACTATTTTCAAATTTCTTGTAAGTTATAAAAATTTCAATGTAATTATGTATGGTTTATTTTTTTTTATATTAATAATTAATAAATACTTCATATTATTTGATTTATATTTAATTTTTTTCATATTGTTTCTGACAGACGAGTGCAAAGTAAGAATCTATAATAAAATGTTTGAGTAAAAATAATATAAAGAATTTTGAAGTAAGATTGGTTCAACATAAACAATATTGTAAATGATCTTCAGATTTATGAGTAAATGCAGATTTTTCTACAAATTTTCATTTCTTTGGATAGGAAAAATAATTTTTTAATATGCTTATAATACAGCATGAGTTTATTATGGGATATCACAGACTATACAAACAGTAATGTGTTTAATATATATATAATGTGTTTGGATCAACCTACTGTCCCTCAGTGTAATGAAGTTTTAGGGATCCTCATCATATAGCAATTGATGTACAGTACTACATTATATTAAAGAATCCGTCAAAGCCTTATTAATATCAGTTATAAAATTCTATTTTTTTTTTTAGTTATAGGATGGGTAAGTGTGGCAAATAATATTTTTGGTCATTTATTAGTATTACATCAGATTAATGAAAAAAATAGAATAACTTTTATAATGTGTTATTTCAGAGATGTTGATTAGATGTTTTATAAGGTGGTCAGCTTGTGGAACTATTGTAAAATATTCTAAATTATTAATACAGTTATTGATTTTAATTAATACTAGATAAATTACATGAAGTTGAATTTACAGTATATTTATACTAAGAACAAGCAAAATTTTTGTGTTTTGAAGAGTGATTATATCAAATGTTTTAGTGTTAACTCTGTTATTGGTGTAAGGGGGTGAATGAATTTAAAAAATGAAACAGATTCATGAAATATTTATCAATGTAATACACATCAGATATTTATTCACAATGAAAATGCACCTGATTCAGTTTACAAGACTTATTTATTTAGACTTAGATTATTATTAAACTTAAAGTTTAACAATAATCTAAGCTGTTGTGTGAAACATCTGTTTCTGTTAAGCTATCTAATTTTTTTTTTCTGTGTAATATATTAATAGTTTAGATTAACTTTAACTATAACCTATATCTTTTGCATTTTACAGAATTTTAAAGGTTTCTTCACAGAAACTGCATATGAAATCTATTATTTTATCATGAAACATTATTTGTATTACTATTTGCTTCTTTTACTGTTTATACAATTACTGTTTGTGTGTAATAGTTCTAATGATTTAAAATCAATGTGAAATAATTGTTTGAAAGTAGAATATTCCACAAGTTCTTAACTTATGTAACATTTAAAATGAGATAGTGTTTATTATGAACCATACTTTAAACTTTAAACTAAAGTTATTTGTGTAATTTAATTCTGATATATTTCTGCTATTTACATTTCTTTTGTATATTTAATGTAGACAAGATATCATCTACTGTGATCTGTTAAGAATTTTAAAGTAATAATTTAGAATATTTTTATTTATTCAATTTAAAATATAAAAATTAATATACATTTAAAGCATAGTATAAATGTCTAATTTATTTTGATTTCTAGCTACTAAATTTATCAAACAAAAGTTTAAAATTGTGTGTATAAAAATTGGTTCTAATCAAACATGTTCTAGTCATTAATCATTTAAGCAACTTGCTTGTCATGTGTTGTATTAACACATCATTATTAAAATGAAATAATTTAACATTAGATTTATTAAATTGACAAACTGCCACACATTAGATTTCTGTTTGTTTAAATATTAGCTTTTACAATGCCAAACTATAAAAATTGAAATAAATGACAACTTTATTTGATTTTTGTTGTCCTAGTTCTTATATATTAATCATAATGTATAAAATAACTTGTGTTACATGTTGGGAGTGCAAAACAAAACTTTTATACCATTTACAACATTGAAATATTTGCATCACTTTTATTGACAATATATATTTCATGCTCTTTGCACCTCATCAACTGATACTTATCTGCTACAAATAATACCAGTAACAGATGCATTCAGTACAAAAAATAATAATAAACAGAACAAACTATCCAAAATAGCACTGTAAATGAAATATAAATGAATAGTACTAAATTAAAAGAATATTGAAAAATGATTGATTATAAACCTAATGTCAAAAAATACACACATGCAATACAGAATAACAAAATGTGACTACTATATTACAGTAATTTTATTGGAATTTGAACAAAGTTTTTGCATAATGTTATTAACAGCTGTTTTTGCTTAACATAAATATGTGATGTGTTAAATTTCATAATTTATAATTACTGATGTGAGATTGTATACTTTGTTTTGAAGCTTATTTTAAACTTTTTTACATTGCATTTCATTTGAATAAAATAAAATCAAAATGTCTGTAGATTGGGCATATTATGCATGGTTTTTAAGTTTAGTAAAGGATATCGCACTATGCAAACAGTAAAAAATACTCTGAATGTGTCAAATGTGGTTTTGAAAATTTTGTTTGGGAAATTTTAAACTAAAGGATACAAAACACATAGGCCCCCAAAAGATGTTGCAGAGAAATTGCGGGAAGAAATTGTTAAAGATTGATGAATAACAACTCGTGAACTTGCAACAAATCTTAGTGTGCTGTGGACATGTAGTGTTGAAACACTTCACCCACTTGAAATGGTTGTAAAAAAATGCTAATGATTGTGTTTCTCTCATACTGTTTTTTTCACATATGAAAAAAACAAACTGAATTGAGTAAGGTTTTGTCTAACACATGTAGGCAGCTGTGAGGTTTTATTTTATTTTTAAATTGAGTACTTGTTTTCATTTTAGAGAACTTTTTATGGACAAATGAAAAAAATAAAGTTAAAATAAAAATTTGTTTTAGTGGGTGGTGATTGTTTGGCTGCATACTGAGTCACCACTGTATTTGTTTAACATTATTTTGACATTTAACATGGTAACATCAAGAAATTTATTAATCACATTAATCAAGTGATACCTATAGTAGGTAATTTGTATATAGCAGGAACCTGTCTACTACAGAAGAGTTGATTGATACCTTGGGGTTCTAGGATTGACTATATATATATACAGTGAAAACTGCTTAGGCGACCACCTGCATTCGACGGGCACCTGTCAAAACGGGCAAAAATTTCTGGCACCGAATAGTTTATCCATAGAGTCTTCGTATAAATTACCTGTATTAAACGACCACCTGTGTAACGCGACCGCGGGCATTGATTTTTGGTCCGAAACAACATACAACACCTGTAATAAGCGACCACTTTCGCGAATGTATCTGGTCTAAACTATTGTTCGAACCCATCTCAACAACGTTTCCCCCTCCTAATATAATGAATTAGTGTAAACTCTCGTTCGAACCCATCCCGGGCACTTCTCCCACCCTTGAAATTAGGTGCAGATGTTAATAAATTAGTCTAGCAAGAAAGGAAATTCATTTCAGTTTGTTNGTATAATTTTGATTAATGCCAAACTGTAAAGCAAGATAACACATTATAAATTAGAGACCTTTTAGTTTACGTTGTAAACTCTTTATATTTAAATTTATATATACTGTATATATTCTTTTATGTGGTTTTTTTTTAATTTAAAAATGTAAACTCGTAAACAAGTTGTTATATAATGTATAACATAAATAAAAATATGAACTAAATATTGAACAAAATTAAGCAATCAGTTGATATTAGTAAAGGAAGTGAACTAAATTCATGTAACTGCATAGGTTTTGGTAATCAGCTTCGTATGATAAAGAAAACTCTTAGTTATATATTCTAAAATTATTATAAAATATTTTCACCTAAATAAAATGAAACTGCTTTCAGTTGCTATCAATAGTTTATTTGCAATTGAAAAGAAATGGCGTGCACTATTGTCAGTTTAGAAAACTGCTGAAAGTAGTATTGAGTCTAGAAGATAATGTTATATATTGTTAACTGTGCTTATTTGTTCATTTTATTTTAAAATCTGTTGTGGGTTTAGGAAGAATTCAAACAATAAAATAACCAGTCGCTACTACAGTGTTAACGTACAACAAATGAAGAATATGTATTTGTATTTTCTTCCAAAAGATTCAAAGTTATGTAAACGGTAGTTTTATTTTTTTTTAGTTTGAAAAGGAACCTCCAAAGAATGCTTTTTCTTGTTTTATATTTTAGTATGGCTGATTATATATTGCCATGTGAATTGTCTTAATGACTATTTTGAGAAGTATTATACATATTCACTATGAAATATTTAACTAAAATTTTATAATAGATTATTTAATAACTTATCATTCTGTCTTCTTTTCAATCTTTTACTATTTATTGTAATAATTTAATCTCTGAACTATACATTATAGTTATAAAAATTTTTAGGAATGTATAAATACTGTTTTATTTATATTCAAATCAATATTCCATTGTGGAAGTTACTATCATGTATGTAATTATGACTGTGGAAAAGAATGTAGTGTGTAATAAGCCCTTAATTTTGGAGTACTTGATGCTATATTAGAAGACTATAAACACAAAGCTTTGAGCTGAACGATGCTGAAGATCAAACAAAATTAAATGTTGTGAATCAAGCACAGCTCTGCTGCTTCTTCAGTAAAACACCTCTATTTGTTTTTCCTCTCAAATAAGCTAATATATGCTCAATTTCATTTTGTTGTAAATGCTATTAATATATACAATGGATGTTCACATGTATACACAATGTTAAATTAACTATTTTCAACAACCGGTTAATTTATGTTGTAAATATTGCAAATAATGTAACAATTTTCCAAACTCCATTGTTAACTTTTAATGTCTGTAGATTTAAAAATAAAAAATGTTATTTTTAATACTAAACAAGAATTTTATAAGTGTTAACCTTAGTTACATAAAAGTTTTTTTTCTATAATTTGCACANTGAATTAATTTGAAGCTGAAAAAGGAAAAAAAATAATCTTATATTAATTTATGATTATTTATAAAATTGAATTAAAATAGAAAAATATACAAAACTTACCTTGAGTACGGTACAATTTATAAATTTACCAATATCCAAGTCTTTTAATAAACCACCCAATAATCCTGAAAGACTGACAGGTTCTGAATCCATAGTTGGCATTCCTCCTGGCATCATATTTGTAATAGTTCCCATCATGCCACCAATTCGACTTGACACCTGTTTAAAATTGTGTTCTTCCTCCTCATTTTCTTTACCCCTTACACCATCTACATACTTTTCTTCGCCATTATCAAATGAGACATCTTTCTTTATTTCTTTTTTAGATGTTTCGCTGTTTGATACGATTGTAATTCCTAACAAAATAAATACTCTTTCATTAATACAGTAGAGCCTCGAAAACTCGGCCTAATGTAGACCGAAGGGTGGCCGAGTTTATGAAAATGCCGGGTTATCGGGAATGGGGTTAAAAAAAAATAAGTACGAGTGTTTCCTCAGAAAATACTGTACTGTACTTGTATGTATTGTTTACTTGAGAATACAACAGAATAAACTGCCCAAATACCCTTAAAGGAAAAGTACGTCCATTATGAAGGCATAGAGCCTTTACTACATAAAAATGAAAATTAATGAATACACTGTGTACAGTAATTTACCTGATAAGACAGACCTCATAAAAATACTTTATGAGAGCTTTTATACTTTTAGAAAGCTGTCTATAATGAAAATTAATTAACTAAGGATTTTTTTGCCCTGCCAGAGTGTGGCCAAGTTATTCGGAGTGCCGGGTTATCGAGAGCCGAGTTTTCGAGGTTCTACTGTATTGATTTATGTCGAATTAAGTTAATGGCATAATATTAATTAAAAACTTAACAACACATTTAGAATGATAAGTAATATAATTTTAATAATTTTGCTTGTATTTAAAACGTATTATTATCTGTAAAATTAAATTGAAATATAACGAGAGAATACGACAATATATATTTATATATATAAAGTTTAAGCATTGATAATTAAACATTAAATCATATTTTTAATCAATTTCGTTTAAAATACAGTAGAGCGTCGATTATCCGAAAGAATTCCAGTCGGCAAATTTAAATTTTCGCCAGTGCTGCGGCGCTGCAATCTTTGGCTATGTCTCGGGCTACTCAAATATTTAACNATACTTAAAATTTTTATATTAATATTTTTTTTACACTAATTTATCAAAATAAAACTTCTTAATATTTTTGATTTTGTTCTTTTTTTAGATCAATGATACTTCATCGTGTCCAAATATAGGAGCTGAATATAAACGATCAAATCCATTTTGTTCTCCAAATATTGATGTGTCAAACTTTTTAAATTTAAATTCTCAATTTAATCACGATGATTTCTGTCTGGCATATATTTTTACATATAGAGATTTTTCAGGAGGTACATTGGGTCTTGCTTGGGTAGCATCTGCATCAGGTAAGGAAATACATGTTTTTCATCTTGAAATTAAAATAAAATTGTTCAAATGAATTTTTTCAGGTATTTTAAGTTTATTGTGCTATACATAGTTTTATGTTAAAGTAATGGACTTCTTGAAACATGCTTGGAAAATTTAATACAAAACAATGAAATTTAATCAATTATTTCATTAGAATTTTTTCGTTTTGAAGATTCAACGCTATAATATATTTTTCACCTATATTATTTCACCTATATTATTCCTAAGTGTAGTTATCTGTATATTGGAATGTCTCTTCAAGAATATTACATTTTCTTTAAAGAAGAAAATAGATTATAGAAATTTGTAGGAAAGATTTGGCAAATATATAGTATTATTATTATATTGTATTCTGAAATATTTTTGTTAAATTGTTTGATTCTCTTTTGTCAATTTTGTATGTTCCATTTTTCTAATTGGTATTCATTTAGATTATTTGGAATGAATAATCTTCTTCAGTAGTGCCGAGATTACAGCCTCTGGTCAAATCTGGCCTGTGAACGTATTTGGCATATCACTTATAATGATAAAAAATAAGCCTTCTTTTTGTATATATGAGGAATACAAAAATTTCATGATTTGTCTGTCACAATTTGTGTAATTTGGCTTGCCAGTCAAAAACTTGGACACCACTGATCTACATTTGCCTTATCTTTATTTGCTTAACATTTGCAAATTTTAATTTTGCAAATATTAAACTAATACTGTGGTTTTTTAACTTTTGGGAATCAAGATTGGATTCAAACCTGATTATTCACATTAGTAGTCTGATATTTTCGTTTCTGGACATCTCAATGATCGATGTAATGAGAATTTGTAAAAATACAGTTGCATTATCTTTACTTACTATAAATCTATACTTATAAGTTTTTACTGTCCTCTCTTTGTAAAGCTTGTATTTTTTTCTGATTAATTAAAGATTCATTTAATTAATTTTGTTGATATTTAAATTAATTAATAAAACATGACTTTTTTCTCAATTAGGCGCATCAGGAGGAATTTGTGAAAAATACAAGCCTTACAATGAAAATGTTAATGGCAGACAAGTGCAAACTAAAAGAAGTTTGAATACTGGAGTAATTACATTTGTAAATTATAATAGTCGTGTGGCTCCCAAAGTTTCTGAATTAACTCTAGCTCATGAAATTGGACATAATTTTGGATCACCAGTAAGTATATTAGTTATATTAGTGTAGATACCCGAAAGTTTTTCTTACTTGTATTTTTTTTAATTTCTAATATCAAATTAATTTTCAATCTCTTCATTCTAGATAATTAATCTTTAAAAATACTTGTACGTTATATTATACACACAAAGTATACTGAATGATTATTTTAATCATACAGTACTTTTTGCAGAAAGATTTCATTTTGGGAATAGTTGTATGTAAGTTACATCATCACTCTTTGTACAGTGTGAATGCAGAACTAGTTTACCATGAAAATAGTTGCTTAATACATAATTATTCAACATTCAAGTAATTACACAAGAATGAGAGGACTGAATAGTGTATGTATCAGGTTGTAAAGGTAAAATTTAGACATTTTGAAAAAAACTTTATTGACAATTAACAACAATTACAGTTCAGCTTGGTAGGTAATCACCATGAATATTAATCACAAAGCTGCAAACTTTCAATTCCATGAATTTAGAATGATTGAGGTTTTTCATCGAAGAAGGTCTCACATTATTCTCACTTGAGTATTGTCATTGAACTGTATATTGACAATATGGTTCTGCAAGGTGTGAAGTAGATGTTAGTTAGCACCAAGTCTGGGCTATAAAAGAGATGAAGTAGAACCTGCAAGCCCAGACTGGCTAGCTTGGTTGCAAATGTTGAAAGATTGATAGTGCAGATGATGCTGATGATGATATATTCCTGTGATCAAAAAGTATTTGGAATGGTTCAATAAAATGCAAGATTTGAATTTATGCATCACAACTTATTTCGTTCCCTTCAAAGTAAACCAATCTTACTGCAATGCAGTTACACCAATGTTCTTTCCAATCCTTGATACATGCTTTAAAGTTGTTTTCGCAAACCCTTTCATGATTTGCAGCAAATTTTATTTTGTGGCATCAGTCAACTTGAAACAGTGACCATGAAGCAGAAATTTTACTTGAGAAAACAGAAAAGTCAGAAGGTGTCATATTAGGTGAATGCAAAGCTTGTAGAACTGTATTTTTGGATTTTTGGCCAAAAATTCGTGAACAAGAAGAGTATTGTGAACATGTGCATTAACATGGTGCATAATTCATGAGTTTTCTTGCCACAAATTGAGTTTTTTATGAATTGCTTCATGCAAACAATACAAAATGCTCAAATAATGTTCTTTGTTGACAGTTTGGTCAGTTGGAAGAAATTTATGATGCACAATGCCATGACAATTGAAACAGTTGGTATGACCTTAATTTTTGTCTTACTTTTACATGGTTTTTTCAGTCTTGCTTCATCTTTTGAGCACCATTAACTTGATTTTTTAGCTATTTTGGTGTCAAAAGTGTATATCCATGTTTCATTAACCATAATGATCTATTTTAAAAACTAATGAGTGACAAATTTAGATGTACTGTAGAAAGAATTTGAGTATTGCTAGGATGTGTGCTGTGCAATATGTGGTGCACCTGTTGAGAAACTGTAATGGACAAATGTGAAACCTGGACAGTTTTCCAATGTGTCAGTGCACACTACAATGTTCTCAGATAATAAGTAACATTGCTACCATTTTAAATTTATAATAATTTTCCTTTTGGAAGACTGTACATTTTTATTGTGATTGAAATATTTCAATTATTCTTTTCTACTCTTTTAATTAATAAACATGTATTATGTATGTCTCTTTAATCCGACATTAAGTTCGTTAGACTATCATTACAGCTTTCAGGTTAGACACTTCTTTTATTGTTNTATTATTACAATACTAATTTAAATAAATAACAATTTAAATATTAAAATTAAAAATCAAATATAATAATTAATTAAAGTTTAAAGCTAATGTGTAAAGTTAAAGTTTAGGAGCATGTGTCAAAAATAATACAAAACCTATTAATAAGATAAAAATAAAACAATCAACCAAAAAGTGAAAGCGAATTGCTTACCTATAAACAGAAATAAATTAATTAATAACGAAAGCAGAACACTTGACTGATTCTTCCAAAAAACACCAGCAATAAGGCCAATTTTATATTAGAAAAATCACGCTCCCTAAGACAAAAAATCAACAGACTTTCTTAGAAAACAAAACACTTTAAATTGATAACATGGTTCCCATAAGATTTTAAATAATAAAAATTTTAGTTCTCAACATAAAAGTTACACAATTCTCTCGAATAATAATTCAAATAATTACACCTAAAATCTATACTGTATATATAAAATTGCTTGTCCTGACTCACTGACTGATTCATCATCGCTCAGAGCAAACCGCTGGACCGAAAGAGGTAAAATTTGGTACACAGTTAGGGTATGTCATGAAAACGCACATTAAGAAGGGATTTTTCGAAATTCCCAAGTGGGGGGAGAGGGAGAGCATTAAGGCTTAATCGGAAGAACGGCTTCTACTGTACTATTTTAGATGCGATTTTTTGTTTTTATCTGCGTTTTAGTAGGGTACGTTATGGAAATGCACACTAAGAAGGGATTTTTAGAAATTTTCCAGCGGGGGGTGAGGGAGAGGATATAGTTTTCATCGAGTACTTAGGTGTATTAAATTAATAACATTTCAGACATTGTTATAAATATTTTTATCCATTTCGATTTTTAAAATGTTCGAACCGTTTTAAATTCGAATTTGTTATTGCATATTAGTTCGATTATAGAACGATTGTAAACGTTCCAAAAAATTGATCAAATTGAAAATAGTTCGTTTGATTCTCGGCAATCCTCTTCGGCGGTAGGTGTTATATAACAATTACTACAGTTATTGAAATATTGAATGTAAATGGGGTTTGCTTGCAAAACCTTTGCGGACAAAGTCGCGGGTAACAGCTAGTGTATAAATAAAGACAAAATATTAAGGTTGGAGTCAAGTCAGTTCACCCTGTTAAAAGGGATGGACTGTGCCTAAGGGTGGGAAGCTCTACAGAAGGGAAAAAATTAAGAATGGCGATTGAGAACATTCTCACTACTGTGTTTCCCCGAAAATAAAACATCCTCTGAAAATAAGACCTACCATAGGTTTTGCTGAATTGCTAAATATAAGCCTCCTGCCCGAAAGTAAGACCTAGCAAAGTTTTCTTTACTCGTAACGGTCATGGACAGATGGTTGAAAGTGGCCGCTGGCTTTTTGAAAGTACAGCCACTGATTGGTCAGCAGACAATCACGCCACACGTCATGATTTGCATAAGACTATGGCTTGGGAATCACAGATTTCCATAACGTTACGGTTGGTGATGGCTAATTGGTCGGCCGGGAATCACGCTACATGACATTTGCATCGTGCTACGGTTCAGTAAGCACTAATTGGTCATCGAGCCCGATGTCGACGCTATAAAAAAGTTAAGTTGAAGCGAGAGTGGGAAGTCCCTGCCACCTAGTATCGGTGTTAGAAGAATACATCGCACGAACGAGGAGATTTAAGTGACGGTACTGGAGAATCGGCGAATCAGAGAGAGAGCCTATCAAGTGCTAAATTCTCCATATAAACGAAGAAGAAGAGAGTGGGAACTCCACTCCAGCACGGGAACTTCGTAAGTTTACTTCGACACGACCGGATATACGTCACTTTCGTCTAAGTTCGACTTGGGAATTTTTTGTTCAATAATAAATGTGAATTTTTCTTCGTGGAAAAAATAAGACATTCCCTGAAAATAAGACCTAGCGCATCTTTCAGAGCAAAAATTAATATAAGGCACTGTCTTATTTTTGGGGAAACACGGTATAAAAGAAAAGGTATACTGACATCTGACAGAAAAAAGAAAACCTTGGGTAATACTCATAAATACCCCTAACACCATACAAGATGACAAAGTCACGGAAATGATTTATAAACAAAACAGATTGCTTTGGAATAACTTAACATGAGACTCTTTTGCTAGCCAGTGCCAGGTAAGCTTCTCCCTGTCAAAGGGAAGGGTGCGGGAGGAATGCCGCCACATTATACTCATGGTATCTCCAACGATTTGAGATACACTAATTACAGCGAAGCACATTTCCATCTCTTGGGGGAGCATTCAAAGTAGATGATTACATACCACTGCTTCGTTGTTACGAATGTTGTGGATTTGCTCATGATGGCAAAAGATTACGTCAAATTACAAAGATGTAGCTATTATTCCAGGAGTCACCGTTTCACTGAATGCGCCAAAAGAGACGAGGTTCCCTGCTGCATAAATTGAAGGCAAGCAAATAAAAGCTTACCAAAAGAGCAAAGGATGACAACTGACCATGCAGCTTATAGCCAGGAATGCGCAATAACCAAGAAGATGAAGACCTTAGCAGTTAAACGAACCAATTATGGTTTGTAGGCTCAACTGTATATCATATTCGAGTAATAACACCCCGTTAAGGACTTCCAACTTGAGTAATCCTGCTAATAATTCCCAATTCAAAGTAAATATCCTTCAAATCAATGTCCAAAGGTCTAAGGCTGCTTCCTCACTGGTAATAAAGATGGGAGAACAGCATAACACGGACATTATCCTTTTACAAGAACCATACCTCGTGAAAAAGCTATCGTTCGTTTTGGAGGATTGAACATCTTTGCTCCTAACAGCACCAATGATGGGACCAAGACAGGCATCTTCACTTGCAACAAAAATATAAACACTGTCTACTGCCCGGAACTGTTGACTACTTATGCCACCACTGCCTATATAATACACTACAACATGATTATTTATCTTACTTCTATCTACTGTTCTTTGTTCAAATCCATCGACCAGCTTATTCAGGATTTGCAGGGAATTAACGACAAAATTAGATCGTTTCCTTGGCTGGTCGGGGGGATACTTTAATGCAAAGTCACCCATCTGGCAAAGCCCGGTGTAAGACGGCAGAGGGTACCAGGTTAACGAATTTGCGTCTAGGAACCACCTAGTTTCGCTTAACTCCAGCCCTCCCCCACTTTTTTCTGTGCAAGGGGACAAAACTGGGTTGACACCCTCTTGTGCATCTCTGCACCACTATGGAGGAAGACAGTGTGAGTGATCACAGGTACTGTACATTA